CTGCGACATGAACTTCAGAAGCCCCTCCCTCAACAAGAGGCTAGTCTTGGTACCCTCGCTCAAAGATGGATCCATCATCCGGTCTAAGTTAAAGGCCGTGAAGGAGTTCTTTTCTATCGTCAATAACTCTCTGCTCATTCTTCGCCCGTATTTCCAGAGGTAAGAGGTAAGAAGCAGGTTCTTGTCACTTTTTCTTCCTCAGCTCTCGAAAGATCAGAGGAGGAGCGGCTTGGTTCGCTTGACTGTCTTCTAAACAGTTTCTTGCCATCACACGATGCTTCTTCACTGGGAGGCCGCCCTTCGCAATTAAAAAACCTTCCGGGGAGCAGCCGTTATTCAAATCAGAGGATCCTTCCTCAACCACAGGACCGGGACTCTCATCTCAGACACGATACATTTTCTGGGCTTTTCGATCATAGAGAAGGACTTCACCCTCTTCTTCATGGCCTAGAACACTAAAGCTCGAGCTTCCTCACCAACGAATCGTGTAAACTTTCTACCCTCCATACTCAACACCACTGAGGGCATAGAAATTGAATTTAATTAAACACTAGAAATATAAACTACCACATCACTTTTATAACGATTTTTGGGCACAAAATTCAATAAGTAATTAATAATTGCACATTCAATAGTAATGAATAAGACACATTTGTTTCAAAAATATAGATTTCTTTCTCATTATCGCACATGTCGCTATCAAGGAGCAAGAGAATCAGAGAACTTTATATGTACATTAAAAATATGTTAGCACGAATCACAAAGACATCTCACAGAGAGTAAAAGAAGTAACATAGCCCCGTGGGGCCTACCAAGGAAGACCCAGAACCACACGCTTAACTGACCAATCCGCACGTACCGGGAAGATGAAGCGCCACAGACAAATAAAGTGTATTTCATTCTTGATGAATCCATCAGACTAGATCCATTTGAATGAACATGTCGGCCTCCAACCCAAATAGAACAAACAGATAAAATGGGTCCTCCGGTTTCATAGCGGCTGGCTAAATAAAGTGTATTTCATTCTTTATGAATCCATCAGACTAGATCCATTTGAATGAACTTGTCGGCCTCCAACCCAAATAGAACAAAAAGATAAAATGGGTCCTCCGGTTTCATAGCGGCTGGCATTGATCCCCAGCAAGTAGTCGCTCAGCCTAAAGCCCGCCCGACCTGACGACATCCCTACCTAATAGCCATTCAATCATACACTTGGGCCCCACAATCAGATTTTTGTACAAACTGAAATACTCTAGACGTACTTACATATTTTAGGGGACAAAATATGCAATGGTACGTTGACCAATTTCTCTAAATAAGTGGTCTATTTTTCACAAATTTACTTTTAATTACTCTTGCATTGCTCTCCTCCTCTTTCTCCAGTCCCCTAAGTGCTCTATTCTCTATACTTGTCTCCTGAATATTTTTTTATTCAACACATATTATATTTTAAAATTTATGTCCCATGATGAAAAATTTGCTAGCCAATATTGTGAAATCAGGCAGGTGGGACCCAACTTTGGGTACGACCGAAGGGCTTTGTTCGGGTCCTTTCAACCTACTCGACCCGCCCATCGGCCCACTCCCTTCCTCGTCCGCGACGTTAATTTTCGAAGGAGATATGTTGTAAATAAAATGATTAAATAGAAGCCGAGGAGTGGAGTAGGGCGAGCATGAGAATCTTCACCGTCCATTTAGCTGCACCGTGCTCCTTCTCCTTCCCGCCCCATCGTCTCTTCTTAGAGACAAGGAATAGAGAATTAGAGATGGAGGGAGGCGGAGATTGGGAGGTCTCAGTGAGCGCCGGCAAGGATTTGGAGGAAGAAGAGGAGGAGGAAAGTTTTCTGTTGAGTCGAGGCGACGAGTTGCCGCACAGCTTCGTGCTGGGAGCGGGTTTCGGCTTTATGGTAACCGATGCGTTTGAGCCTGACCATCCCATCATATACGTGAACCGCTGGTTCGAGGAAATCACAGGATATTGCGCCGAGGAGGTGCTTGGTAGAAATTGGTGAGTTCCATCAACTTTTCTGGTTTGGCTTAGATACTGGGCTTTTGTTTCCCCCATTTTGGTCTGAAAATTTAGTTGAGTCCTTTATCGTATTCTGGATGTTCACATTTGAAACCCCTTTTTTCTAGTTTGAACAGTACCGACTGGGGTTGGTTCAGATTAGGCTTTTAGTTCATTTGATCGTATTGTTTGAGTTATTGAGTGTATTGTTAGGATAGCGAAGGATTTGAGCTCTTTTGATCGACTTAATGAATTTGGTTTTTCCGATAAGCTGCATTAGATGCTTGTTGCTAAGGTTCTCGTGACAAGGATTTGAAAAGTGCAACCAATCCGAAACATCACGGGATTATGCACTATTTAAGTGCCCCTTTTTTCGTGGAAAGGCTGTTACTTCTATTATGATTTGTGAGCAGCTATGATAAGACAAAATCTTTTGAAGTTTTTTTTGTGCTTGATGATCGAGTTTAGAAGCACTGGCTGCAGGTCTTGTTTCTCAATCTCACTGTTCCAACCGGTATTTCCCTATTCCGTAAACATTTTTCGGCCATAATCATAATTATCATCATTGGTCTGATGTCAATGATTTGCTGCTGCCTTTATAAATCATAATTTTTTTTTAACTTGTCCAAAAGCGCCTTGATTATTTTCTGGGTCATGCAATCATCTGATAATCTGATGACGTTTCCGCATGCCGACTGCCTAGAGCTTGGTACAGAGAGTTTTCAAAACTTCCAGGTTAGCTTTTCTTTTTCTTTCTGGTGTCGGTGGTGCTGTTATCGACGAATTGTTTGGATTTGAGATTTTTTTGTCATATGGACAAGGTAGGCTTGGCAGTTCATACTTAGGAATATTCTTGTCTTAATTGGAGAGAATATTTGGTAGACCAAGCAGATATATTCTTACAAACTTTTTTTTTTGAGCCGGTCATAAGAATAAATTTTTTAAAAAAATTCATTTTGATGCATTTGGAGGAAAGATGTTGACTCAAGTTGCTTTAGGATATTTGGAAGGCTAAGCATGGATCTTTTCACAAACTTGTTGAGCTGGTGGCTTGAAAAAAGCTGTTTATGTTTCTTTTGTAGATATATTTTGATGATGCCTGTGGATAAGAGTTGGGTTAGATGAGCGAGATGATGGTAATTGGTTCCCTTTTTTACTTAGTTGACTCTCTATGCATTACAATTGTTAAATATGGTTAACATTATGTTTCGTCTTTATTCCATGATAATGGTGGAAAGGAAATTGTATTTGATTAGGCTTTGTATGTCAGCATAAAATGTGAACGAGAGTGATTGCCTTTTCTAATGTTTGATCAATTTCTAAGAGATTTTCACTAGTACTTAGAAAGTGACTGGGTGAAAAAGAAAGACATTGTTCCTTCTCTTTCATCCAATTTGTATTTGTTTATCTTCTCCCTTAACATAAACTTCTTCCCTTTTCTTCTTTCTCCTGCTTTATGTCGTATCTTTCTTCAAGTTTGCGTTCTCTTCTTCTTGAAACAAATATAGAAGAACTAAAAGATACATTTCAAAATAAGCCTATGGGTATAAGGACTTGCAAAATGCAACTGAAATTTTCTTAGCAGAGGGAGGAACAAATTCATAAATCTCCTTGGTATTTTGGGGGTTAGAAATTTGTGAAGTTATCTAAGATGGTGAACATTTAGGAAAGCAATAACATGTGGAACACTTGTACACCCTCTTAAGAAGTGTAAGCGTCAAATTGTGGAACTTTATTCTTATGTTTTCATAGCTTTGATTCTTATGAATAGAGCATGTTGAGGTGATGTGTGACATAATTTAGTAGGCTGGATTGGGACGCTTATATTGGAGGGATTGTAAGATTAGCATTTATTGTAGATAAATTTGTTCAAAATTAATTTGTGTGATTTGTGCGTATATTATGCAGGGTAGAAAATTTATTAATAAGACGTTCAGATACTAATGTGGAAGTATTAAGAAGAAAAAGATAGGAAGTTAGATAACATGGATATAACTTGTGCAAAAACGACAACACAATTTAAATATAACATGCTCAGCATGAACAAATGAAGAATGACTAGTTCCTTATAAAAAGGAGCATAGCACATCAATCTCTTTTATTATCATATATTTTTCATTTTTCAGGAATAAATTTTGACGGAAGATAGAGTTTGGATAATATGGTATTATTCTCCTTATTATGTATCATCTTCATAGTTCAGCAATGTTGCCTCTCTAAAGTTCAGTTTTCCTGCAGCAATACTTTCCCTGTTTGCTTCTACAGCTCATGGCTGTCTGCAGAGAATTTTTCTTCTCGGCTTCTGCAGCTCACGGCACCTCAAAAGTCATTTGTCTTCAAAATATTGGTCTTATAATTTTTCTACAATTCATAATTATTTACACGTAAAAGTCACTTATTTTGATTTTTTACATTTGGAGGTATTTAATCTTTCATAGGCAGTCCCTACAAATTTTATACTGGGAATTTCTTATAGAAATTATTCCCTGTTGTTCATCGTACAACACTTCTCTAACTGGCCTTCCACTTTCCATTTGATTCCATTCTGAAATCTAAAAATTACAGCTCGTTAATGCGTTGACCCTCTTTGTAGTCATACTGTATCTTGTAATTTGAGCATAAAAACCTAACCTTCCCTTAAATCTGTTTTATTGCCTCACCTTTATGAAGCTTTATAATGAAGGGATTATTTGTGTCTGAAGTTATTCAGTATTTTATGTTCTACCTGATAATAGTTTGTTCATTTGCAATAGAATGTAGTTCCCTTTATAATATTTTTTCTTTTTGTTTTGGTTAGACTCCTAGTTTTTTTGTTTATTGTTTATACCATCGCATTTATTTTTTGGGAAATTTGCATACATATCACAAAATTCTTATGTATTTACATATATAACACCCAAAGTTTAATATTTACTACTGTATTATTTAATATTTACTCTTATAACATTTTGGTGTGATAAATCTATGCATGAAAATGTTTATTTTACTTTAAAAAAGATAGTGATTATATCTTTTACGTGATGTTAATAGGGCCAGAACCAGCCTCTTTTTTGAGGAGAGCCAAACAGTCCCCTAGACCCAACGTGGGAGGGGTTAGGGCAACGAAGGACAAAGTGATATATCAGGAGGTGCAAAACCGATATTTTAAGATGGGCAAAAGACCAAATTTCCCTCACATATAAGTAAAAAATTTGAATTTGAGGGGGAGGGGGCGCATTAGGGTTTAGGGTCAAAGGAGGCATCCCTACGTGGATCCACCGTTGGATTTTAAAGATTTGAGTGATATGCATGAAAATCTGAATCTTTACATGTTAGATATATAACATAAGAATTATATGGTATGTATGTAAATGCCCCTTTATTTATTTTTTAGTTGTGCTATTCTCAAACTGTCCTCCTTGTTTCAGTCGCTTTTTACAGTGCAGAGGACCATTTGCTCAAAGGAGGCATCCTTTGGTTGACTCCACAGTTGTTTCTGAAATAAGAAGATGCATAGAGGAAGGAGCCGAGTTCAGAGGCGAGCTTCTGAATTTCAAGAAGGATGGATCACCTATGAAGTGCAGGCTCCAGTTGATTCCTATGTATGAGGATAGCGACACACTTACCCATTTTATAGGCATCCAAATCTTCTCCGACACAAATGTTGAAATCAGTCAATTCTCTAACACCCATCCAAAGGAGTTTACCGGATATTCTGAACGTTTCAGATCAAGCACAGGTTATAGACATATTTGCCGACAAGTTTGCAGCTTTTTGCAATTAAACGATGAGATTTTATGTCAGCAGATTCTTTTAAGGTTAGATCCAAGAGACATTGCTTCTGTTGGCTCTGTTTGTAAGAGACTTTATAACCTGACAAAGAATGAGGAGCTGTGGAGGATGGTTTGCCAGAATTCTTGGGGTAGTGAAACTACTCAGGCTTTAGAAAGTGTTCCTGCAGCCAAAAGGTTAGGATGGGGCAGGCTTGTGAGAGAATTAACTACACTTGAAGCCGTTGCCTGGAGAAAATTTACAGTTGGTGGTTCCGTTGAACCTTCTCGCTGCAACTTCAGTGCTTGTGCTGTTGGAAACAGAGTAGTCCTTTTTGGTGGTGAAGGTGTGAACATGCAGCCGATGAATGATACCTTCATTTTAGATCTCAACTCCAGTAACCCACAGTGGACACAAGTAAATGTCAGCTCCCCGCCGCCCGGTCGATGGGGACATACTCTATCTTGCTTGAACGGATCTTGGTTAGTTGTATTTGGTGGCTGCGGAAGGCAGGGGTTGCTCAATGATGTTTTTGTGTTAGATTTGGATTCTCAGCATCCAACATGGCGTGAAGTCTCTGGTATAGCTCCTCCTCTGCCACGATCATGGCACAGCTCCTGCATCCTTGATGGCTCAAAGCTGGTAGTTTCAGGAGGCTGTGCTGATTCCGGTGTGCTTCTCAATGACACTTATCTCCTGGACTTTGCAGCGGAGAAGCCGGTATGGAGAGAGATACCGGTGCGGTGGACGCCACCTGCTAGGCTCGGTCAATCATTATCTGTGTACGATGGCAATAAAATACTGATGTTTGGAGGCTTAGCGAAAAGCGGACCTCTTCGCCTTCGTTCCAATGATGTATTCACATTGGATCTCAGCCAAGCAGAGGCATGTTGGAGGTGCATTACTGGAAGTGGAATGCCTGGTACAGGAAATCCTGCTGGAAGTGGTCCGCCGCCTCGGCTTGATCATGTTGCTGTAAGCCTTCCTGGAGGTAGGATTCTTATATTTGGTGGCTCTGTGGCTGGTCTGCAGTCCCGTTCACAAATATATCTATTGGATCCAACGGAAGAGAAGCCAACATGGAGGATATTGAATGTTCCTGGAAGACCGCCGAAGTATTCCTGGGGGCATAGTACATGTGTTGTTGGAGGAACAAGAGTTATAGTTCTCGGGGGCCAAACTGGGGAAGAGTGGATGTTGAGCGAAGTATGTGAACTCTCTCTTACAAGCTTCATTCAGGTATGAAATGCCAGTATTAATACTGTGGAGGAATGAGCAGAAAAGAAATGAGTTTTTTTTTAGATGATGAATATCTCCTAATAGGAGTATGTTTCCATGCCGCAGAGCTGCTTTACTGCTGGTTGTTTGTAAATTTTGTAGCAGCAAACTCAAAGGTTTGATGTATAGAAAGCTATTTATTTAATGCTTCTACTTGCTAGTAGGTGGAAATGTGGGGAAACAGAAGACAGAATCCCTTAATGCTTCTACTTGCTAGTAGTGCTTTTTTTTCCTCCTCCTTTGGGCAAGGTAAGCGCTATGGTAAAACAGAGAGGGAGAGCAGGTAGGTGGAAATGTGGGGAAACAGAAGACAGAATCCGTGTTAACTTGTCTTCCTATTAGATAGTTTGTAGGTGTATATATATAGTAGAGATGGTTATATTGGTAAATACATGAGCAGATTTGTTACTGATCAAGCGAAGGATAGATAGGTGGTTGTGGGAATATTTTAGAGGCCGGTTTTGCATCATGCCATCGTGACATAGGACTTGTATTTGATTTTAGATGTCTCATTATATCCAAGGATATTACGAAGAAAGGGTGGAGGAACAAGTGTCCAACTGTCCTGTTGTTGAAGAGCTAAGAATTTAGTGGACATGGCTTCACGCCAATGAGGAGCTTGGTTGCTTAGGCAAAGCTTTGGGGTTCTGAGGTGGGATTGATTGGGGAAAGATGGTTATTAAGGTTGAATAGTGGGTTTGGAGCGGGTTATCATGGGATGAATGGGTGGAGGGGTGTTTGGTTCGGTCGAATGGGAGGGGACGGTGTGGTAGTGATGGAAGCAGGCATGATGGTTGGGGTTGTGGGGTCCGTAGAGGAAGGAATGGTCTTGGATATGGTATTATTGGGTTCAGGGGTAAGATGAGAAGTGGTGGAGGAAGGTTATGTGTAGGTGGGGAGAAGTAAATGTTTCTGCTCTGAAGGTGGTGGGCGGAAAGGTGTTTTCATTAGGGTTTAGGGTTTAGGGTTTAGTTAGATAGATAGGGATTTGACTGAGGTGCTAGTTTGTGGGGGTGGTTTGGGTGCCGCCAGTGAAAGCAGCAGCAGCCAAACATGCTTGGGTGGTTGCATGGTTGTTCCTTGATGTATAATAATTGTGATGAATAGTTGAGAGTTTTGGATGGTAGGAGGTTTTTTAGATAGGTGTCTGTTAGGAGAGCTTCCAGCCAGAAGTGATAGGGGAGATGAGTAACATTGAAGTAGAGCACATGCGGTATCCAGAAGGTGGTGATTTTTCACATTTGGCGATTCTGTTTTTGTCACAATCCCGCCCAATAGTTTTGGAATTATCGAGGCGGGAATTGATGATCGGACGAAGAAAACCTATCTAATAGTTTTTATTTGATCACAAAAATAAAATCCATAACACAAAAGAGTCATTGTAATTCATAAAACTTATATTTACAATAGATTGTTCATATATAAATGTTTACATTCAGATAGAAAATAAACTAAACAACAATACCAATCAGCTTACGCTCCACTCCGTCTATACACGTACTCACTGGGGTATATCTAATATAAAGTTGGTTTTCCAATAAAAATGTTAGCAGCTATGATTTGAGTTAAAACTATTCAGTGTGTAAATGTTTCTAAGTTACAATAGTTGTCATTTTTAAAATACTTTTGTAAAAGTTCAATAATAGTAAAAATTGTGCAATAAAAGACAACAGTAAAGAAAATAAATTTCATTTTTCTTTCATTTATTTAGGTTATACTTTTCATAATTGAGAGTCATCGTTTAAATGTATACTTTATAAAAAATATATGTTTAACTTTTTCAATCCACCATAAAGGTAGACAAACATTTCCATTTATTTTTTTATTTTTATTTCCATTTTCATTTCGTGCACGGGTACAATGCATTCCCCTACTAGTACCATCTATGAGTGACTTTTATATGCATGCATATATCATATTTTATTCATTTTTATCTTGCATTTAACATTCAAAAGAAAACTTGTATTTAATATTTAAAAAGAAACACGAACTTTGACATTTTAAAGTAAAAATTGTAAAATCAGTAAAAATATGCATAAATAAACAGAACTATTGTAAAATAAAAAAATATATTACCCACCTCAACAGTGTCATTTGTTATTCTTTTCCTCAGGTCAGTCTAGTCTTTAAGTGCACCTATAATAACAATTTAAATGTAAGTTAATCTTCTCTCCTATTATTTATAGATTTTCTACATTAGGTTCATAAACTCTTTATTTAAGTATGAAAAAAATATACCTATACATATATATTTATATGTATTAGCTAACCAAACATACATATATATGTAGGAATATCCAATTGAATTTTTTTGTGTTAAAAGCTTTTAAAATTTTCATTTGGTCATTTAACCTTAATAACAACTTAATTATAATTATCTTTATTTCATTTTAACATTCATTAATTATGAAGGAAATAATAAATTTTTGAAATTGAACTTAATAACTGAATTTCTTTTCTGCAACAAAGTCTTCTTTTTTTTAGGTGGCATTTTCAACAATTAACTTAAACAAATATTAATAATTTGAAATCAATTTAATGTACAATGTATATAATTTCATTTTTAATTAATAAATACTTCATAACTTAATAAATTATTACTTTACCTTTTAAAACCCCCTTCTCTGCTCTAAGTCATGCGAACCGATCATCCATGTCTCTCTCCCGCGATGGGAAAAAATTTACGTACGTCAAGGGGTTTGCAGAGATGTGTACATAATAGGGTACACGGGGTTTATACGGGGATTATAAGGGGGTTATAACCCGTTGTACCTCCCGTGTAACCTCCCGTATAACCCAACTGTAATCTTATAATCTCAATAGATAAAATAAAAGTGCGGGTTACAGTTAAGTTATATAAAATTTATAAGAAAATTATAATATACTTGTAACTCCCATATAACTCGCATATAAGGCGGGTTTACCTGTTATTTATTTACACATCTCTGATCTCTGCGTACCCTTACGTACGCGCAATTTTTTTCCCCCGCGAGCGTTTCCTCCTCCCCAAGCTCTCGGTCGAGCCTCAAAGAGCAGCTCGAGCCCCTCATTCTCCTCCTCCTTCCTCTTCGAAAAGTTCGATAGCCCGCCTCCTCCTTCCTCTGTGAGTTGCACGACAGGGAGAACCCGCCGTCTCCTTCCTCTCCCAGCTCTCGATTGAGCTTCCTACAGGCCTCACGAGCTCTCCTTCCTCTTATGCGGTTTGGTTAGGGCACGAATGCCTCTCCCTCCCTCTTCTTCGCTCGGTTAGGGCTGCTCGAGCCTTCATCGTGCAGAAAAATGCCGCAGGAGCTCCCTCCTCCTATCTCTTTGGTTCAATTACAGGTAACCTCCACCTCCTCCTTCTCCCTCTACTGCTTCTCCTTCTTCCTCGTCCTCAAACACTTCTTTCTTCTTCTACCTCACTCTCTCGCTCTCTCATTCTACCCCAGTTTCTCTCGTGCCTGCTGAGTGTGGGTTCGAAATGGGAGGAGACGAGGGGAGCCGCAATTTGACTCTCCCATGAGCGGCGGCTTCTTCGCTCGAACGGCACCTACAGTGGGGTTACCTACGATATATATATATATATTTGTATTGATTTTTTTTTAAATTATTTTTTTTTTAAATGTTTATTATTACGGTTTTGCTCCGGTGTATATGAGCAGCTGAATTGGTGAATTATATCATATAGGGTCGAAGGTTATGGGAGATATATTCCCCGCTCCCATCAAAACAAAGGTATTTGTTGATGAAAACAGGACCGCCCAACACCTAGTAAAATCAAGAACTGAACCGCCGAATATCTGAAAAAACTAAGAACTGGATTGCCGAACACACTGCTGGTTGAAGGACTGAATTGCAGAACTCCCCTCGGTGAAACGAGAACCTGAAGTGTCGAACTCCTCCTGGATTGCCGAAAAACAACCTACAAATCGTATGGTGAAAATGTAATAGGAACTTTGACCAAGCCATTTTAGATGGTTTTGGTTGCCCAACCCACTTTGGTAAGATGTTTCTCCTAAGGGGCAGTATATTTGCTGATTTTTTCTCCTAAAGGATTAGATATTCGCAAGGTGTAAATTTTCTCCTAAAGGGGCTGAATATTCACTAAGGTGGAGATTTATTTGGTAGGCATAGGCACATGTATCGGGTGATGCATATCTCCTAAGGTGTTGGATATTCGTATTCGCCAAGGTGGAGAATTGTTAGGTATGACTCATATCTAAGGAGTTGGAGTTTCTTGTGAAGAGTTGTGTCTCTTGGTGAAAATGAGTGTCTCTTGGAATAAAGGTAGTTCGGGGGAGCGAGGGCGTGATTGTAATTTTATCTGAGGGTTTGTATATGTCTATATATATGTGTAATCCTATTAGATGTATTGTAACTTCTCTGAGATAGTGAAACTGCCGCTCGCTCTCAAGGACCGTAGGCAATTCATTGTCGAACCTTGTTAAATCTCTGTGTTCTTCTTCTAATTTGTGTCAATTCTTGTTTTATTCCGCTTAAATTTTTCACAACAAGGAATCCAATTTAATGGAGCATTGGTTATCTTGAGTCAATTGGTGAACAAAGATGAGGTTTTGCGATAGGTTTTGGGGGACGTGGAGAAGAGGTGAGAGAGTTATCTTACGGTTGGGGGTAGGGAGGAGGCCTTTGCCTATGTGGATGATATGTGTTGTTTGTCCATTCCCACGAGAACCTGCTCGTTGCCTGAGTCAGTAGTACGCTGCTGAAGATTTTCCAAATGAGGTGCAAGTTGTTTGGAAGAACCAAAATCAAGAATCTAATAATGCGTTGGTGGCTGAGGGACGGAAAGCAGAGCTGTATGCTCGATTGAAGAATTTAGTGAGGGTTTGTATTGAAGATTTCAGCAGTCTGCAATGAAGTGATCCAACTTATGGCAGAATATGATCGAGGGACACCCATTTGGGATGCTGGTAGTTGAGGGAGCTGGTTGCAGAGATGGTGCTGGATGATCTTGAGAACAATTTTGGTGCTGTTGATTTCTTCTGCAGAGCGGTGGTGAGAGCAGGGTGTGAATTTTTTTTAGCAAATTCAGTTGCTATGTTAAGCTGATGGGGGTTAGTGTTGTCTGAATGGCTGTTTTGAAAGCTTGATATGTAGGCAACAAACCATTGAAGATGTAAAGAATAATATCTTCATTATC